GATATTGCATGGATAGATAGATAAATAGTCAGAATACAAAACTAATAAAACTATAGATATTGCATGGATAGATAGATAAATAGTCAGAATACAAAACTAATCAAAACTATAAATATTGCATGGATAGATAGACAAATAGTCAGAATACAAAACTAATAAAACTATAAATATTGCATGGATAGATAGATAAATAGTCAGAATACAAAACTAATAAAACTATAAATATTGCATGGATAGATAGATAAATAGTCAGAATACAAAACTAATAAAACTATAAATATTGCATGGATAGATAGATAAATAGTCAGAATACAAAACTAATAAAACTATAAATATTGCACGGGTAGATATATAAATAACCAGAATACAAAACTAATAAAACTATAAATATTACATGGATAGATAGATTAATAGTCAGAATACAAAACTAATAAAACTATAAATATTGCATGGATAGATAGATAAATAACCAGAATACAAAACTAATAAAACTATAAATATTGCATGGATAGATAGATTAATAGTCAGAATACAAAACTAATAAAACTATAAATATTTATACGTTAGTCGGTGTTGTGTATATATATATATATATATATACATATATACACTGACCATATTGTTTATCGAAATCTTCTAGACCTTTATGCACCTGATAAAAAAGTGTTTTCAATACAAAGAATACACAGCAATTAGAATGAAATATAATGATCGTTAATCAAACATTCACATTCGAGTTATTAATAAATCAGGCACTATTAATTTCGAAAGTATAAAAAATTTCCCCTTTCTGATACAAATAGCAAACAATTGCCGTTTTAATAAAATTTTGTAAATCACTTTCACTTTATATTTAGTGTTATTAAATGTTATCGAGTATAACGATTAAAACGGTTTTTGATTTTTTTAAAATTGATACTACATTTCTAAACGATATTTTTCTTTGTTCGCTTAGTATGCGGATTTAGGGCTAACCTATATATTCTAAGCTGAGGTATTATTGGGATTGCGGCCGAAAATATCGTCACCGACTGATCGAATTCTAATTAAACAGCAATACAATTCAAACTGTGTGATAAGATGCGATAAAGTAATTAGTTAGTTGCAAATTGCCAATCAAAACGAAGCTTATACTTTTCTAGATATTTCTAAGAAGAAAATACATTATTAATAATTTTTATTATGTTATTTCAGTTCAATGAGTGCAGCGTGACACTAGTGCCTGGAGCAGTTTGACTTGTATCAGTTATAGTAAGACTTCCAATCAAAAGCGTTTTGCTGATTTGAAGCCGCAGACGTTACCTTTGTGAATTCATTTCAAATTTATCCTCACTTCATTCATCAAACAATGTCAAACGTAACATTCTCGTGTCAAATAAGTGCTTGACATAAATATCAAACCGAACCCCCAATCTGCAATACATGTGTTTTATTTTCTACCTGTGACTGATGATGCAATACATTTTCTGCACGAAGATTGAAAGAGCTGTAATTCTAGTTTTCAATTTCCATA